CATCTCCAACCACTTTCTTGTGTCAGTTCCAAAAACTCATCTCTTGAAGCCTAAGAATCACTGAGCAGGTAAGCAATCAATTGAAACTACTTCTAAACAACATGGAACTTTAGAAATGATCAGGCAGCAAACAGCCAAATGAATATCCAGTTGTTAAGAATGGGTTCCAAAGAGACCCCTATTTAGCTCACATCTTAAAAACAAGAGGATTGCATGTGCTATATTAAGCCTTTCTGACTGCAGCAAAACCTCATTTATCCAGAAAACTCATATGTGGGCCATTTTATTATCCTGTAATATTTGTCACAAAAGTATATTCCACTACCTCCATAGGGATCAAAGCAGTTTACAATAAAAAGGCACTAAAATTGAATGCACATAAGGAATCTAAAACATTGATAAGATTCAATAAAAATACAAATTGCAGAAGACAACTGGATCAAACAAGAATAGTACTAATAGCCCCAGAGCAAACCCAAATCAACAGCAATCATGTTTTCCTATTGAAATAGTGGATTGAAAGACAGAAGCAATTGCATCCACAAGGCAGTGGTGGATACTGGAGTCTCAAATTTCAGTAGCACCCTTTGTGACATCAAAAATTGGCACTCCCACCTTCTTTTGTGCATCATAGTTGTGGTGCCCCTCAGACTCTGAACCCAGTCTGACCGAACCACCAGTTGCGCTTCCCTAAATCCACATATGCATAAGACCAGGAAGACCCATCCATTAGTTAGCATCTTGGTAACTACTGTTGTGGCTATAGTCACTGCTCTTGTATCCGGCCAAATCCAAAAAGTGGAGGAGAGAATAATCTTAGATTTTAGTAAAGGCTGTGGTAGTGTCACAAAATGAAACAGCAACAGTGGTGGCAAAAGCAGCACACGTGTGTCCTCGACATTTTTCAAAGTTGTACTACGTGAGCATGCTTTGTTTGACTCCACGCAAACTAAATAGGGCTTTGGCTGTAATATTGTGTACTTACTGTGTGCAGGAATTCAGCTCTCTGTAAACCTTATTTTTAATTTTCTGTGGAAAACACTATACCCATGTGCAAACAACCACTTGGCAGTCCACCCCCTTTTCTCTCTCTCATTCTACTGCCACATTTATTTATTTATGATATTTATATTTTGCCTTTCCTCCCAGGAGTTCAAAGTAGCATACATGGTTCTCCCTCTCCCCATTTTCTGCAGATCATATGATCTACTAGGGTATCCTTCTGGTTCCTCTACTCACATCATGATGATGATGATGATTTTATTTATACCCCACCCATCTGGCTGGATTTCCCCAGCCACTCTGGGCAGCTTACAGCACAGACATACATCATCTACAGTGTTTTGATATTCCAGTAGGAATATGTGGGGAAAGTTGCTTTATGCTATGAACCACCCTGAGATCTACAGGTGTATGGCAGTATACTACATACATACATACATACATACATACATACATACATACATACCAGGGTTGCTCCTATACTTCTCACATTCTACTACCCATCACCCCACCCCATATTTCCCTCTCCTTGGCACCTGCGTAGAATTAGGCTGATGGCTGCAGGGTTCCCTCCACCCCCAATGAAAGTAATCTCCCACATTGTCTTTAACAGCACTGGTTTACAGCAGTGAAAGGAGAAGGAAGGTGGAAAATGCCCTCCCCTTATTTTTATATTTCTTCTTTCCTAAATAAATACCAAGCATCCATACAACAAACCCCATAAAAGGAACGTGATCCAGCAGCAACAGTGCTGATAAGGAGAAATTCTGTGACTTTTTTAATTAAACCTGTATCAGGCTCTGTTGTAGGCAGGAATTGTTTTGCCACCGTGTGCTCTGCACCCCTTTAAACACCTGTGTGTTTAACACAAACAATCAAAAAGCAGCAAGAGAGCCAGTGTGGTGTAGTGGTTAGAGTGTTGGACTAGGACCTGAGAGACCAGGGTTCTAATCCCCACTTGGCCATGAACCTCACTGGGTCACCTTGGGCTAGTCATTGCCTCTTATGCTAACCTACTTCACAAGGTTGTTGTGGGGATTAAATAAGGAGAGGAGAACCATGTACACCACCTTGAGCTGCCTGGAAAAGAACGAAGAGTAAAATGAGAAACAATGGCTTAAGGATTTGGTCATTCCAGAACCTGTATTAGTTTAGAACATAAGAACATATGCTTGCTGGATTGGGCCAATAGTCCAGCAATCTAGTCCTGCATCCTGTACTCACAGTGGCCAACTAGATGCCTCTGGATAACCAGCAAGCATACTCTCCCCTCCTCTGGTTTCTAGAAAATTCAGAAGCAATGTTTCCTCTGACCATAGAGCCAGAGCATAGCCATCATAGCTAGTAGCTACGAATAGTCTTAGTTTGGTCATCCCCCAGCTCTTTCCTCAATATAGTCATAATTTGCAGCTGCTCTGCATAAAGCTGGACACATGTAAGGGGCACTAATCAGACAAAAGTAGCACAAACTCCAGCACTGTTTGGTTCGCCAGTCAGTTATTGCCTTTTCACTTTCCTAACATACCAGAATAAATTGCGTCCCTATGAAAAGAAAACCAGCTGATTTAGCTTGGGCCTTTTATCACATTTTAAAGAAAACTATAAGCTTTATGCATCTAATACCTTTGGAGTTGTTGTTTTATAAAACAAACAAACCCCAAACTCCTAGATATTTTATTGCATCATTCCCTCTGGTCTCCCTATAGCCCGTAGTTAATGAGAAGAAATCAGTATATTGCATTTTCTGGCACCTCTCTGCTGAACTGGCAGGATTCTTTGGGCACCAACTCATTTGCTGTTTAATTGAATTTTTTTTCTCCAGGCTCATTTCCATGCAGAACCTCTTTTGGAATGCAGATTTACAGCCCAGTATTGATTCCCTTTCTCCCTGTTTTCTCCTGAGCTTGCAAAGCAAAGATACCAATTTTTAAAGCAGCCGCAGCCCATATTGCTCCAGGGAAGATATCGGCTTCCAGTGGAATAATTGTTCAGGCCTCTCTAAAACAAGTGCTTCCTTATTCCTTTGCACATATGTGCATGCACACACGCAGACATAAAAATCTGTGCAGCCAGCTTTGGATAGGGTAGCCAGATGATGCAAGGTCTACCGGCCAAAATCCCCTTTCCTGCATAGCAACCTGCCTCCTTTTTCACCTCACTATATTTAGAGTACATTTCAGAGAAATAATATCACCGTAAACATCCTGATTTGACTGGGACATCTCAGAATTACAGAAGCCATTGCATCCCGGAATAGTCATTTCTCGGTCCCATGCTCTCACACAAGTCATCTGGCTCTTCAAGAGTGTGGGATGAAAAGGACACACGTTCTTGGGTGCTGTGCTCTCAGCTTGCACCCGCGTGCCACTCCTCCTCCTCTGTGTTATGTGGTCTGAGCTGCACCGGTCTCAGGAAGTACATCATGAGATCAGACCTGGCAAAAAATAAAGCATGGGGGTGGAGGCACGGCAGCCCTCATGTGTGTGCATGTGAGCTGGCGAGCAACTGGGCAGAGAGGCGAAGCAGTGGTGGGCGAAGGTGCACAAGGGTGGAGACCATCAGTGGGATGGTGCTGGGGGGGAGGGAGTTGTGAGTCCCGAGGGGGGAGGCAAGTGAGAGGGGTAGGGCCTCTGTCAAGGAGGAAAGTGGGGGTCACTGAATAGGGTTGGTGTATCTGTGGAAGGGTTTGGGGGCATTGGCGGGATTGTGTGATTTCAAGTGTGTTGAGGGACTGGGTCATGTTCCAATTTTCCTTAGACCATATAACACCAGTCCTGAAAGACATACATTGGCTCCCAGTAAGTTTCTGAGCACAATTCAATGTGTTGGTGCTGACCTTTAAAGCCCTAAACGTTATCGGCCCAGTATACCTGAAGGAGCATCTCCACCTCCATCGTTCAGCCCAGACACTGAGGTCCAGCTCTGAGGGCCTTCTGGCGGTTCCCTCACTGCAAGATGTGAGGTTACAGGGAACCAGGCCTTCTCGGTAGTGGCGCCCGTCCTGTGGAACACCCTCCCATCAGATGTCAAGGAAATAAAAAACTATCTGATTTTTAGAAGATATCTGAAGGCAGCCCTGTTTAGGGAAGTTTTTAATGTTTGATGTTTTATCGTGTTTTTAATATTCTATTGGGAGCCGCCCAGAGTGGCTGAGGCAACCCAGCCAGATGGGCAGGGTATAAATATTATTATTATTATTATTAGATGTTGGAGGGTATGGAAATATAGCCTCCTGATTAATAGAGCCCCCAGTGCTCTCATGTACGCCAGCATACACACAAAGCACCTGTATTTCTCTAAGATGTCTTTGTCTATTCATTCCTAGGAAAACGGCATATTTTCATGTGTTTGTCAGGGAGGTGAGGAAGGTTCCTCTCCACTGAAGTGAATAAGGAATGTTTTACCAGCAGAAAAGATCCATGCTTAGTCTGGAATATCTACATCCTCAAGGAATCACTGACCTGAGATTCAAATGTGGAGTCCGTCAGATGCTTTTCTCACACTATTCTCATGAAAATAAATGGCTCTTCTAAGGAAGCAGTGCTTGGTAGAATGCACCCTAGATATATGTATCACCTTAAATGAACAATAAATGAACTCATTCCAGAGCTGGAGGCACTCTCTGTGAAAGAGCAGTGCAGGCAAACAGAACCCTGATTTCATATTCCAAATCATTTCTGGTCATAAATTTGTACCTTCCAGAGGCAGAGCAACATCTTTACTGATGAAACAAAGGAAAAACAAATTTAAAGGCGGGGGGCAGAGAATAAACTCAGAGCAGTCGATTGTAATTTGCAGGAAATTACCCCATTAATAATTCCCTGGATGCCACAGAGTGTTCATGAAGGTCAAAGGGCTAGAATGTGAAATGGGGCATTTGCTATCCACCCACCATTGCAGCCAGAATTTGGCAGGATTGTATTTCATGTGGATTCCATCTCCTTTAAATCACTGGTTACCTGTGACTTTTGAATATGTAGGCAATCATTTTATGTAGGGGAAGGGCAGTACCTCCATGGTAGAGTATCTGCTTTGCATGCAGAAGATCTGTGGTTTGATTCCCAGCACTTCCAGGTAGGACTAGGAATGTCCCTGTTAAGTTGTGGGTGAACATATCAGACGACACAGCGGTTCTTCAAACAGCTCTTGTTTATTTACAGGCCAGAACAGAACTGAACTGAAGGGTTCAGCCAGCCTGCTTATATAGAGCTCCACTACAACGCAACAGTAACCACTTTCTGTAACTATCCAATCACTGAACGTCACTTTCAATCCCTTATTTGCATATGCGGACCTGAGTGAAAACTATCTACAGTATCCCCCTGCTGGCCCAGGGTGAGAACTTCAGTACATAACAGTCCCCATCCTGAACCCAGAGAGAAGCTGCCAGTCAGTGTGGATGAGCTAGATGAGCCAATTTTCTGATTCAGTATAAAGTAGCTTCCTATATTTATATCTATATAAACTACACTTTCGCTGTTTTTTAATGAGAGTAATAGGTTTGCTTTATGAAATGAGTGATGGGTTTCCACACACACACAAGGCCCGTTTAAGATTCTGAGAGGCCAGGAAGCTACATTGCCCATTGAGGCTTCCCTGCTTCCTCCACACTCCACCCTGGTCAGTGTTGATTTTTCCTCAGTTGGCACATCCTGTTGATGCGGGACCCTCCATGTGTGAGGCCCAGAGCAATTCTCTCTCCCTCACCACCCCCCCACACACACAAAAAGGAAAAGGCCCACCCTGGACACACACTCCTCCGAACCATAAACATTTTATGAAATGGGATATGGCAGGAACCCTGCAAAGGGCTTCCAAACAAACCTGCCTTGTGTAGAAAATATTCTGTAATTCAAGAAACAGTTGTGGCCATTATTGTTTTACTCTCGGCAAACATAGCCAAGTCACAAGTTTTGTTAAGCACAGTGGTACCTCGGGTTAAGAACTTAATTCGTTCTGGAGGTCCATTCTTAACCTGAAACTGTTCTTAACCTGAAGCACCACTTTAGCTAATGGGGCCTCCCGCTGCTGCCGCACTGCTGCACTGCGATTTCTGTTCTCATCCTGAAGCAAAGTTCTTAACCCAAGGTACTATTTCTGGGTTAGCGGAGTCTGCAACCTGAAGCGCCTGTAACCTGAAGCATCTGTAACCCGAGGTACCACTGTACCTGAGACAATTATTGCTGTCGACAAAAGGAGTGCATTTCTACTCTATAGGACTGGCAACGGGGTCTTTTTGCACCCAATTACTCTTCGCTAGAACCAACACCAGGAATTGGCATTGTTAGGCCAACAGCAGTGAGCCCCCTGATGAGCGCAAAAATCCTCCATCTTGTTCCTTCATCTTGTTGCCTTCCCCTTCCCATTCTGAGCACAAGAAGCTAAGAGCCCTGCTAGGTCGAGCCAATGAGACATCTAGCCCAACGCAGTGGCCAGTCAGATGCAGGATCTGAGTGTGACAGCACTCCCCACACTTCATGGGGAATACGGCTGTCAGTGGCTACTAGTCATGATGGTTATGCTCTACCTCCGCTGTTACAGGCAGTATGCCTCTGAATACCAGCTGCTGGGAATCGCTGGTGAGTGGAGTGCTGTTGTGCTCAGGTGCTGCTTGTGGACTTCTCAGAAGACACCTGGATGGTGGACTAGATGAGTCATTGGCTTGATTCAGCAGGTTCTTCTGAGGGAGGGAGGCCATCCTGCCTAAGGGCCTCCCAGAACCTGGATCTGACCCTGACCCCTCAGGTAACACCATCTCTCCATAATCAACCTATAGAAGCATGGCTATGCAACTGTATATCTGTTCTGGCAATCACATCCTCCACTGATCAAGCTAGCTTATATCAGCCTGGTCCCTTAGCTCAACCAGCTACTGTAATCTAGACAAATGTCTGAATGATTTCTCTTTTCAGCCCACAGAGAAGGGAGTCTCTCTAGGGCAAAAGCAGCAGGCAAAACTCCCCAGCTAAATGAGTATTGTTATGGGAGATGTTTCTGTGCTGAAAGGTGGATGCATTTTAGTGTAATGGTGCATCAGTACAAACTCTGAATACAATCCAAGATATTTTTATGCCTCTATTTCCTAGGAAGGTGCTGTAGGATTTGTACATTGGATTTGCACTATATGTGAATGATTTACACAATCCCCATGAGATCTAGTCCCTTAACTCGCTTCCCAGCCCATCTGAAGTCTTTCATGATTCTACCTTCATCTCAGATGGTAAAGAGAGGGAGGAGAGCCAATCCTCACTGTTGGAACACCAAGCTCTTAGAAGTTGAATCAGTAAAACTCATGAAGGGATGAGGTCTGGATGTCAGATGGGTACCCTTCATATTCCACACACTCATAACAGTCAAATCCCTGATACTTAGTTCCTTGTGGGTTGCTTCATTGTTTAGACTTACATGCCTTTTAGGTCCCAGTACGTTTCCAAGCAGAATTCAAAGTGTTGGTGCTGACCTTTAAAGCCCTAAATGGCCTCGGCCCAGTATACCTGAAGGAGCATCTCCACCCCCATGATTCAACCCAGACACTGAGGTCCAGTGCTGACCTTCTGGTGGTTCCCTCCCTGCAAGAAGCGAAGTTACAGGGAACCAGGCAGAGGGCCTTCTTGGTAGTGGCGCCCACCCTGTGGAACACCCTCCCATCAGATGTCAAGGAATAAAGAACTATCTGATGTTCAGAAGACATCTGAAGGCAGCCCTGTTTAGGAAAGTTTTTAATGACTGATGTTTCAATGTATTTTTAATGTTTTGTTGGAAGCTGCCCAATTATTATTATTATTAATGCAATTTCCAGACTAAACACTATGGTTCAGATTAAGAGAAGTCAAGTCTCACCTACATCCCATTCAATTGAATGGGGTGAGCAAATTGCAAGTACCTGAAATGTACTGATTTCAACAGGACCTAGACATGATTATCTGTAACACTCCAACTGATGCATCAATGGAGGGGTGAAGGCCAACGTTAAATCTGATCTCTGTGGTCTTTGGTAGGTTTGGATTTGAGACTGAGAACTGAGAGATGGGATCAAGACTGAGATATCTTGATCCCAGCATGGCAGCCAACTTTCTGTAATGAATAATGACTAACCTAGATAGGAAAAATCACAGGCCCCTGAAGTGTCGCCACACTGTGCAGGGAATTTAGGCTCCAACTACCTATTAAAGCAAATGGAAGATGACAGAGCTCACACACTCTGCCCACTCTTTAGAAAATGAAAATGTCAACATACTGCATGCTCTCCTCTGTTATTTGCCATGTAATTACATGGTAATTGATGCTTCATAACAGAAAAAAAATTGCAAAGTGTGTTTTCCCACCAGGATACAATGCCAAAGTTCACATTTCTGATTTAAGTCGGCCTCCAGGTCTGTACCTAAATTAGCAGAAGGATTTTCTTCATTCGTCATCTTGCTTGATCTTGGGTAGCAGTTGGGATTCTGTGTTCGGGAATGTTTGGGCTGAGCAAACAAATTAGCAGAGACCAGCTTCATTAAGAACCCACAGAGGTATTTGTCATGGCTTATAATGGGAACAGTGTGCTAGCTGCAATGAATTCTGATCCCAGATCCTCACAACATGGGGCAAAAGATACAATTTCAACAGGAGAAGAAAAGGCTTCTAATTAAATCTCTGCTTGCTCTCTTCTTTTCTGGCTCAGCCTCGCCGCTTCCAAAGAAACTGGAGCAGCAGCCCGATCCGCTCCTAAACTTATGTCCCCTTCAGATTTCCTGGACAAATTGATGGGAAGGACATCAGGATACGATGCCAGAATCAGGCCCAATTTTAAAGGTATGCAGTCACTCTTGGTTTCTATTTCACCTCCATTTTGTTTTAGATCAGAACATGAAATTTGGGCTTGTTTTCACCAGATTCTTTCTGTGGGACAACAGAGCTGGACCCTGCTCCTAGATAATTAATTGCTGCCCTGTGTTTCTTCAATTCCTCCTCTTCTTCCTGTGACCACAACTCATGATCAAAGCTAATCTACAAATGTTGCAGGATAAAGCCTAAGAATTATGAGGTGGTGGTAGAATGGACTGAAACGGTTTAAGTTTCAGAGACCGACAAGAAATTATAAATGCTCGCCCTCATAAAACAAACAAACAAAAGATTTACCAAGCAGAAAGCCAACATTTCAAGGAGAAATGTTTCCCTACCACAGTAGATATCTACTTGCACTGTGTGTGTGTGTGTGTGTGTGTGTGAGAGAGAGAGAGAGAGAGAGAGAGAGAGAGAGAGAGAGAGAAATTAATACAGCGTATTACATAGGAGAGCATTAAAAATGCGATTCCTCTGGAATCAGTATACACTGTCTCAATCCATTCTACCCTTTTATGTTCTGCTCATATTGCTTCATGTGTAGACCTAGCCTAAGCCTGTTTCCTGGACAGGATGAAGAGCCATGCAAAGGATACTCTTGGAGAAACAAAATAGTGAGAAATTCTATCAAGGAAGGATATATATAGTTATAATTTTTAAATTTTAATTGGGAAATGATTTATACTGAATTAATCCTTTTTTAAAAAAAAATCCTTTTCTAAAAATCCACAAGCATTACTCCTGGGGTTAATAACAATAGAAGTCTCCCCACCACCACCAAAGAGAGAAAAAATTGTTTCTATATGCGACAACAGCCATCCGTGTATTATTAGTGCAAAAAATGGAAAACAGATAAAGTACAAACAAAGGAGGAATGACACATTACACTGTTAGACTATGCGGAGCTAGGGGACTTCCGGGTTGGCGCCTCTGGCAATGGCGGATTTCCTCCGATCGGGAGGAATCTGCTCCGTGGAAAAAAGGGTCTGAACCGCCACGGCGAGGCAGAGACCCATCAAAAACCACAGGCGGGAGAAGCCTGTGGACGTGGGATTCAGCTGGCACCTTTGCGCCCCCCCTACTCGCAGGGAAACCCGGTTTCGGGGATCCGGAGCGACGTGGGGGTGAGTGGTGCGGTGCTTTGAATCGACTGCTTCTTTCACGGAGTGAAACCGCATTGCTGTTGCTGGAGAGCGCTGACTTTTTCCTGTGGACAATTGGATTTTAAATAACTGCCCGTGAGTAG